AAAGACACTGAACAGAGGGAGACAGAAAGCCGATTATTAAATAAAGTTTACATCCTTCATGGCACATGTAATGTATTAGTGGTGTTCTAGAGTATGCCAACACTTAAATTACCACAAGCCAACTGATGCCCTGAGTTAAGTAAAGAGTGGGGACAAAAGAAGAAGTGAAAGTGCGAATTATTTACCAGGCTGTCACGCTGCCAGTGGAAACCATATAGCAGATGACTGCACCTGCTTAATTCACATTACTATTTCCTCTTCATTATTATGCAGATACTAACTCTGTGAAGTTAATTACACAGACATTTTACATTTTTTCCCCTTAAAAAAAAAAGTTTTAAATATTTTTGCAACAGGTATTTGGTGAACCTAAGTTTTTGACATTTTATTACTACTGGTTTAAAACTTAATGTTACTTGGATAACTTTTTGTTTGGGCTAAAAGCAAGGTTCAGGGTTCAGTTACATGGCAAGTTTTAAAACCAGCTTCAGAGAAGGAAGGAAAACCCTTGTGATCTACCAGAATTGTCTTTCTAAGTGTTTAAACATCTACTTGGAAAAAAACCAAACAAGTCACATTCATTTTGAGACTTGCCTGCCACACCAATGAGACCACTCTAAACAACTTCAAAAGAAAGATACAGCCTCTTTGGAGCAATGCCTTGTTTAGTGTTTTGTTACTTCTGCCCCAATAATCTCCAACACTCACAGGGCTCAAAATATTTATATATAGGAAATTGTATTTTAGTGTAACAGATTAAGACATTTATCCACATTTGTTCTAAAACATCTCATCAAGAAAAAAAAAAAACCACAGAACACCAAACATCATTCAACTGCAGCTTTGCTCAGCCTCAGCGGTAGCCATCAAATGCTGGCAGGCGCTAGGTAGAACTAGATACTTGGATTAGAAAACAAAGAGAATAAAGCATTATTCCTTCAGAACTGGAGCTACTTAATCCTTTTTAATCCTTCCTTTGGCTAGAAAAAGAGGGGAATAATTTTATTTATGTATGAAATCAGGAAAACCCTACATTCTGGGGCCCACCATACTGTAAATTACATTTATTTTACTTAGGTCAGTGAAACTGCAGCAACCTTCCCCCACATCCTCAACTCCCCTCCGCACTGACTGCCAGAAAGTCAGTTTTCAGGGTCATGTGCCAGATAAAGACTCTTTTAGATAACGTGTGGAAAAACAGTGGCATTAAGTGGTTTGTTGGATTACTGATAATAAAACATACCTAAAAGCAATCTCAGGGAGCACAGCAGGAGCTCAGTTCCTATTCAAAGAGAGGCATCAAACAAATGCCTCCGTATTTATCTAACAAGTTCACCTGAAACCCATCAGTAGACCAGTACATTTTCAGATTAACGGTTCAACAGTTCTACAAAAAAATAGTGTTCATGGATAGTCAATCTTCAATTACAAATGCAATATACAAAGCGTTTACTAGGTAACCAGAAAAAGAAAAGTAATATCATGGCTTCTGAAGCCTAAAAACATACTGAAGAACATTTTTTACACCACTGAAATAAACAGGGGAAATGAAAAAGCCAATTTGTTCTTCTTGAACAGAAGTTTAATCAAAACTCATTAAAAGACATTGTGACAATGCACTGCCACATGAAAGTATGGCAAATACTCCCCTTACCTAACCTCTAAGTGAGCTTCGCCAGAGCTGTAGCAAAACACAGCACTGCAGGACATAGCTCAGTTAAGCCTTCTGTAAATTGAAGTATGACTTAATGCTGTGACATAAAGCACCATACATCCCACTCTTTAAACCACCAGGACGTACTTCTGCATTTACACTATACACAAACACCTCAAAACATTTCTAATTTGTTTGCACCAGTAAGAATTATCACATTTCAACAGACTTGCCCAACCCAGTCTTTGAACTTCTGAGCAGTAGTGTAAGACTGTCCTGTTCCTTAGTGATAATTCGATTCATCCCATTTTGCTAAGCAATTCCAAAATGAACTTCAAGTAACATTTATTAACCAAATGTTTCAGACTTAAATCAGTTGAATTAAGAGGTATGGTGCTTTTTTTCTACAAACCTCAACTTTTTAAGCTATCAAACTACCAAGCAAATGACTTTTTAACCAAAAAAGACAAGAAAAAAAACCTGAAATGAGTAAAAGGTCACATTAAGTTACTTATTTCTGTTTAATTTTAACCACTTGAAGCATTTTTAAATAATCCACTCAGTCATAACTAGGAACACAGACAGCTGTTTCTAGTTCTGACACTGTAAATAAAGCATCGCTGAATACTAGTAAAAGACAACAGGAATATAGGCACAAGGAATACAGGGCTGCTTAAAATTTACATTCCATTGGTTAGTGTTGCAAGCCAGTGAGAATGACTACAAACTAGAATTAAAGACAAACAGCAAAACAAAATAGTTTGATACCAAGTCCAGAAAAAAAATCTTTTGAAAACACAAAAGGAAAAGGTGCTTTGCAAAATATTGGTATCAGACCAAAAAAGGTAAATTTCCCAAAGCATGCATTTCGCCCCTAAATCTGAAAGGGGAGATCCAGAAGATGAATCATTAAAAGAGAGTCTATTTAACCTTAGCAGGAGTGGTCTTATTGCTTCAAGAAAGCACTCAGGTTAATACTACTCTTTGGTAGTGTTTCTCAGAGCTAAGTCCAGTTTAATTAACTGTGTGTGTTGACAAATACAGAAGTAGTGACTCTCCTTTTGCACCAGTAATGTTGTTCTTTACCCTGTATTTTTTCAGTTGACCCCTTACTAACTCAAGAATTGCAACAGAACATAGCCAGTATCAATGTGAGATTCTGAATCAGTTCAATTAAAATCAGTCTAAAAGTTGACTGTGGGGAACTTCTGTGTCTCTAGTCGGTATAACTTCCTTAATGCGATACCCCAACTAGTTTAAAACAAAATTACCATGACTTGACTAAAACTGTCTTTCCAAACTACTGAGAGTTGAAAATACTGCAAAGCTGGTTTGCCCCTAATATTTCCTCTTCCTTAGGCAAATAAAAGAACATAGACTCCAACCCTGAAACTGAAGATTGGAAGCTCTCACCTTATGTGTTACTAATTCCCAAATAACAATTTTGAGGCTCCTCTAATGAAAGAGAGGAACAAGCCAGAAAATTTCACAAGGATGCAGGCATTTTGCTTGAACATCAAGTGTTGTGGGAAATTTCTTATCTAGCATTCTGAACAACGCTGAAAGATACTCCTGTATTTTTCATAGTTTCCTCTGGAGCCAGAACTGGAAGAGGAGGAATATGAGTCTGAAGAGATGGATCCCTGTATCATGTAATATTTTGCTTGTCTAGCTTGGGGAAGGAACAAGGAAGATATCATCGAGACACATAATGCGGTGAATTCAGCTGTCTTCAAAAAACTAGTTTCTGAAATAGAGCTGAAAGCATCTTTTCCTCTATGAAAGTTAAAAGTGAGGAGGGGAAAATAAAAAAAAAAATCATGCACCAGGTTTTAGTATGTCAAGAAAAGGTAATGTAAACATTCTCTATAGAAATGATCATGAAATCATTTCTAAAAATGGTTACAAAAAGTAGCAAAGCATGAAATGTGTAGTTGAGAGGACAACTTCATGCAGAATGGGTTTGTACAGTACATACCCAGATAGGATCTCTTGGGAGGTGCTTTGATTTCTTCATCCTTACTATCTGCAGCTACATAAAAAACAGTTGAGGGGAAAAAAAAAAAAAGGAAGGAAAGACAAACAGACTTGTATGATTAAATGCAACAGTGGGTCTTTTAGTTACAGTTTAGTCAGTTAGTACATTTTGCATATAAAAAAATAATAGCCAAACCAAAACATGCCAGAAATTTTAGTCTCCATGCTTTCTATAAGGCTCCCACCCCATGATGTTAAGATAGGGTCAAACAGTAAGAAGTCCCAGAACAGTCTCAATGCACAACCCAACAGCAATGTACCTAGGGGGAGAAAATGAAGACTTAAAAACAGTGAAACAGACAGCTTAACTCTCACTTTAAATACTTTTCATGATCAGAGAAAACAAGTTGTTATCTCAGTAACACTGAGTGTGTAGATAGGTATGTATAATCAGCTAAGACAATATAGTTGCCTTGCCTCCTGTGGAAAATGCTGTTCTAAAATAGTTTCAAAAAGCCTGAGCTTAAGCCAATCGTATCAAGAGGACAGAGCAGATCCCATCCGCAACTATTCTGCATGCTAAATTCTTTCACTCAAGACTTCCTCTGCCAGTTGAAAACCATGTATTACGCAAGAGTGCTTTCCAGTGCCAAAAACATAGCTTTTCAAGGGATCAGAGTGCTGCAATAAGATACAAGTTATAAAGCAGGTTAGAACAACCAGCAGTTGGAAGGAAGACAAAACTAGATGAATGACCAGAGGAAGTCATCTTCACGTAAAAACGCAAGAGCCCATGTTCTACTTAAGGGGTCTGGGCTGTACTATAGGAAGAAGAGACATCTAAGAGCCTGTTTTTAACAAACGCTGTGCACTCGTTTTCAGTATAGTTCATACATTCAGGGTGCTCGAAATCTGTCACAATGTCTTGGGGATAACTGAAATTGAATCTTTGTTGGAGAGAGGTGGAAGGCTTGTTTGGGTAAAGAAAAAGAGGTTTCTTCATAGAGTGTCTGTCTCTCCAAGAATACGAAGAGACTGCTCTGGCCTGCCAACATTTTCAAGAGTGACCAGATGTTTTTAGCTGTCTGTATCTGTGAGCACCTCACTTCAGCCTCCCCTTGACTGAGTCAAAACATGGCACATGCACATTTTGCTTTCCAATATTTAGCTCTCTAGCATGGTAGCACCATCATGCCCCAGAAATACTACAGCGCTTTGAACAAAAAAAACCAAACCCTATAACAAAAGAAACTACCACTGAACCTTGAGCCTTCCTGTACGGAGCCAACAACACAGCAAACATGTGGCTGCACAGACACCAATTTAAAAGTGGGCAATGAATAAGGAGAGCTATTGTTACCACAACAATGGTACCAGGAGATGTGCATTGAAGAGGTCAAGATGCAATTAAAGTGGTGTTAAATAAAGGATAAAAGATGAAGAGGTATTGTTCACGCCTGCTGATTTCATCTGAAGACTCCTTCACATTGCTTTCCAAGTATTCATATGCAGGAGAGAGAACTGTCCTATCATTGGAGGTTTTAAAATAAAGTCGGGTTTTTTTGTTGTGTTCTTGTTTTGAGGTTGGTTTTTTTCCCAATTCAGAACAGCTAAAAACAGGCTATACAGTCTAAGTTTAAAAAATAATAAAACAGTTGGATATATAGAGGACTTACTCTGTCTTCAATCAGTACATGTAATTGAAGGATAAAGTTTATGTATCCAGAACAAAAAGTCAGAGAAGGCAGCAGCAGCACAAGATGGGCTCTGCCACATTCAACTTACTTTTCACTTTGCAAGACTAAAAGGGAGGGGGGGGAAATCCCATAATTGAGAAGTAACTGAGAGAAAAAATAAAAGATTATGCGAGTTTTCCTAATAAGTTCTCTATAGAAAGCCTACAAGAAATAACCAAACATTACTGGAAAGAGTCCAGAGAGACTGTATTTTTCATGCTATGATAGTTACCCTATAAATTAAAGTATGAGCATTTCGACTGAATGGCTTTATGTCTATGTTCTGAATTGCTATTGATATGTATTTTAATCCAGTAACACCACAGAACAGGCTAAAGAATACAGAACAATCTTGTCAGGGTTAGGAGAGACTGCTCCTCAAGGCTTCAAGAAATTTTAAGTAGATTCCTTCTGAACTAGTTATTACTTAAGGGACCTTATCTGTGAGAATAATAAAAGCAAAAGAAAAAAAGGCAACTCCCACATAATTCAAAACACACTGGTAAACATATACTAATGTGACTGGGGGGGAAATACTGCATTTAATAGTAATACAAGAAAACAACAAACTCCCTTCCACTGAAATATTCTATTCTATTCACTTTCTAAATATTTTGGATTATTTTGCAGAAACAATCAGAGAGAGGATAGAAATTAAAGAAGAAAAATGTTTACATTGAAGACCAGCCACAGGAGAAATACCATACAGAAATTGTGCACCTTCCCCTCAGGATTCTGCAAGGTTAATCAAAAACAGTGACTTCAAGCCTAGCTTCTCACTGCCCCAGTAAGCTATGAGGAATGAAAGTAAGTACACAGATTTTTCAGCTTGCCTAGATCACCATAAAACTTAAGAGATAAGATTAGGAGGATTAGAAACATGGATCTCACTCGTACTCATATTGTGCTTGAAATACAAACCTATTTTTCTGCCTCACTAGAAAGGAGCTTTGTATGCATTTCTGTTTATTCTGAGCCATTGCATTACAGCTGGCCTTACTAAAAATCAATCACAGGTGAGAAAAAGATTTTAGCTGTTCTCAAAGTTTGTGGGAGGATGCAAGCCTTTCAATGAAAACAAATAATTAAGGTCCACAAGTAGGTAAAATCAGTCTCTCTAGCTAATTAAACACATGACAAGCTGAGTTTCAGGAAAAAGGATCACATGACACAACGTAACCTTGAGGAGTTGCCATTACCTGGTAAGGGAAAGACTGATTATCCTTTAGGAGACTGTATGTCTTTCACAGGGAGAGTTGTTTAAAGAGGGCTATACGCTAAACTGAACAGCGTCCCTTTTTGTCCAAAGGTTACTGAAGGAGCCTGCAAGAGCATATGTGTAAATGTGCACGAGGACAATTTCCCCTCAGAAAGGGCAAATAGACAAACCTTTCTGCCACTTCACAAAACACTAGCGCAGAGAGGAAAGGAGGGAGAAAGCATACATGCCCCTCCCAAATGCTTCCTGGATTTTAACTGCTGCTACATCTGGCTGAAAGTAGTTTAAGTCATTCATCCTGCCAGACTAACAACCCTCGTGAACACAGCAGCTTGTGTTTCAGAGCTGGAGCGCAGCTTCTCTTCCACATGAATTCACTTACCTGAATAGTTTCACACTACACTCCACAATGAGCGGGAATGGAAGTAGCTTCCTTAGCTATTAGATAAATTACCCTACTGCACAGCCAGTAGCTGCTGCCTTCTAATGATGGCTGTGGGTATCTGGAGCTGGATCAGACCCTCAATTATTAGGGAGTGAGGGAAGAGAACAGATGGAGAGAACAAATTATACATCCATATTGGCAAAATAACTGACAAAAAGCTGACAGCATAAATTCTGTTCTTGTTGGTAATAAGCTGTAACATAAAATGTTTTAAGCCAAAGTCAATACAGAGAAACACAAAAAACTAACCCTCTCACATTTCTTATCTGGGAAAAAGAGCAGGGACTTTCTACAAAGCTTGAACATTTCATTAAATAAATAACAACACTCTGGCCCTGACTGAGATTATCAATACCTAAAAATTAACAAATAACCGAACCAAAAAAAATGTGAAAATTCCCATGAATCCCAACTAATCCCACACTAAAGCCCAAGGAAATGGTATACAAAAAGACATAGTTTTGCAACTATGATATGACAGCACCTCCTATTTTGGCAGCCAATAACTTCGTAAGTAGAAAATAAATTATGTACAAAAGTAAGTGTTTGCAATTGCAAAATAAAATTTCAGATAATAGTGTATGATCATACCCAAGAACTTGGTAGAAAGTACAGCTGAAGAAAATAACTTCTTATTCTGGCCAAGATCTCAAAAAAAAAAAAATCCAGGCTAGCACAACGGCATAACAGCCAACTCTACATTCAGGGCATGGTGTGAAGTATTAAGGAAAACTCTGATTTCTAGACTGACTCAAGACCCGTCTGAAATAAAATTACAGCTTTACATATTTATCTGGAAAAAGCAGTTTCAAAAAAGAAGTTCAGGAAGTGCTACAGTGAGTTATCAAGAAAGGCCACTGGATTGCAATCCAGACAGAACTTTTGTCCAAAATACAGTGCACCATGCTTTCAAAAAGATTTATCCTGCAAAAGCCAGTTCCTGTCACTAACCTGCAAAAGAGCGGCGTTTTATGTTTAGCTCGTTGGACACACGTACTTCAGTGCACAGTTTCAGCATCAGTAACATAGTAATGATCATGATAATGCTTTGCCACAAAAGAGGGGATTCAAAACGCCTTCCAAACCTGAAAAAAAAAAAAGAAAAGAAAATACATAAAACATCTCAAAGATGACAAATGTTGTACTCTGTTACTTTCATTCTTTGATGTTATCTAAGCACCTGAAAAAGGAAATCCTAACAGTAACAGGTATGAAAGGCTGAGGAAGAGAAAGTCACCAGCCACATCTAGATGCACATATAGTAGCTCAGAGTCACAATCCCCTTGCAGGAACATCCGAGAACCTTGCTACAACACCCCTGTGGAATGATCCTAGAAATTCTGAAACCAGAAACTTAAGTCTTTGTTTCCAAAGCTAGCAGCAAACCTATTTTTTTAAAGCAGCAGCAGATTCATTCAGTGGTCAAGGCAATACAGAGAGACCAGAATTATGCCGTATCAATACCAGTTATGTGTCCTCTCCGCATACACACTCAGTAGATTTCACAAGGACTTCCGTGCAAAACTTACCTCTCTCAATTTTTCATTTTTAAGGTGAAGTCATAAAAACAATAGCACTTGTCCTATAAAGAAATAAATACCCACAGCTATTAGCTTGCTAGGTTTAATATAACATCTTCCTACGGGGGCAGGAGGGGAAGGTATTATGCTTTGTCTGCCTTGTCTGCCTCTAGACACCTGAGTGAGTAGACCAGGTCTACAGAACACACCAATCAATTCATCAATTTGTGTCTAATTTGGACCTAGGTTGGGGGAAGTAAGGAAGTCCAAAAGATGTGGGAACTGAACATACCTAATTTGTCCTCTCCTGCCCTTCCCCCAATTTAATTTCTGCTTGCTCACAGATGATGCTTGGTGGGGATTACTGAGCCCTTCCTACACATAACACAGAGCGCTGAACTTGGGATTGTGGCCAATCTTGACTGAAGAGCTTACTCTTATGCGATTGCACAAGGTTCTGCCACAGGAAAATGAGACCCTTCAGTGAAGACTGGTGATGCTCCAAGCTCCTCTTCCTGCATTACTTGATGAAAGCTCAGCAATCCCCATCAGACACTCTCAATAAGTGCATTAGGGGTAAAGGGTGGAATTTTTTCATGTGCAGCCCACGAAGTACATTAGATTTACAACAGGAAGGCTGCATGCACATTGCAGTGAGCTGTTTCTCTGTGCTCAGTTCTGCCAGGTTTTATGCCTTGAAGACAGAAATGCTGAGGAAGGGATTTGATGAAAACACGTGGCTATGCTCCCCAACTCCTTCAGCCTGCACCATGAGGCAGGCTTTCTACATTCCCTCACAGCACAGTTACTAAGGCCATCCTCTGAACGCATCGTGCTGCTGGAGACCTCAGCCTCACAGGCATGGCAACCACTGTCCTCTTCTGTTCCTGTTTTATAGCACCCTGAAAAAATATAATTTCTTATGCTTGGGCTACTTTCATAGCAGAGCTCCATGTTAGTAAAAACCAACTAGGTTCACCATCACACTCTCTCACACAATACTGCATTTCCACTATAGCCATGTCACCAGAGAGATTTTTTTTTTTTTTTTTTTTGTTATGAGTCAACTAATAAGGAAGAGGAGAGAGACTGGTAAGTCCTTGACTAGCTTCCTTGGAAATCTTCCTGTGCAGAACAGCCAAGCAGCCCACACCAATGAAAACGGCCAAGTTATTTCCTGCCTCATGTCATACAGCTAAGGAAAAATACGACAACACTTTGAGCCTCCACACCACTGCCAAAGACACCACCAGTAGTTACTGGAAGAACAGCAGTTGCACGTACCTTAGTCTCCCCCTTCTTTCTACCATCAATGGATTTGTGGTGGGCCACACGAGGGCCATTATCATAACAAATTTGGAGGACGCTATGAGGAAGGAAATAAAGAACACAACTGATGCATGTAATCACAGGCACAGTGCTCTGGATAAGGCTTTCACTGCACTAGGAAAAAATGCAGGGGAGAAGAACAAAAGTTTGGCCCAGCTTATGCCCCATGCCCATGATCCCAAAGCTCATTCAGCCTGTGTTGCTGACTGTGGCCAAGTTCCCCTGAACTACTGGAATTCACTACTGTTACCTTTGTCTCTTATTCAGGGAAGGAGAAAAAAAAAAAATGGGAGAGACTTACTTAGAATTACAGAGCAGTTAGAACTGTTTACCTCAGGCTTAGAAAAACCATCTCCAATTACAAATGCATTTGCATGTAAAAATATAGTAATGCATTTAAGAGGGGCTGAGCTAGCAGCACAATAAGCTAGAAGCTGTTATGATGGTAAATCCATCGGAGGTTGCTGCAAGATTAGTTTCTCCCTGCTGATGAGACTATTGGCCTTCCAGTAATGGGTGCCTCACAAAAGTATTGCTTGCAGTATAAACATCCACCCACAACAAACACACATTAGCATGGCCACCTGCTGTCTCATCATAACAATTTGCCATCACCACAGCCTCACTGGAAACAAGACTGGAAATATTGCTGCAGATCCTCTACCCCTTAAAAACTGAAAAAAAAAAAGTAAAACAAAAGTCACAATACACAAGAGAGGTAAACTGGAAATTTAAAAATTCTTATAGGGATGTCAAACAATGCACAACACCTGCAGATTTTTTTTTTTTTAACACAACCCTCCAGCCAAAGGCAAAGGTTACACAACAAAACATACTCATGTGAAATACATGTGCCCAAACAACTATCCCCAAACTGAGTCTCACAGACAACACAACACTAAGCTAGGTCACACCTACAGGAAATCAAACAGCTGCCACGGAGACCAACAGGCAGAGCAAGCAGGACATGGCCTACACCACACTACCATGACAACAAGACTGAAGAGAATACCAGTGTCAAGGACCACTGTCAGGGTCTTGAAGCTTTAAAAGTAAAGCCAGAACACTAATTTTGCTCAGGATCATGGAAACAAACACCACTCCAAGCTGCTTACTCTACTTTGCATTGATATTAGGGCCTGCCAAAGCAACACTAATCCAGTTTAAGACTCTTCATGCCAGCTTGAGCCAGGTGCACTGCAAGATGCAAGCCCTGCAGGGAGAGCGTGCTGTTCCATGTTCTGTTTACTTTCTGCCTCGCAGGGGTGATTCCTATCTTTGCCAAAGCAGAAGCCGGGAGGGGAGGAACATTAAAGTTGACTATACGAGAAAGATGAAGAGCCTTAAGATACTAGAACGGGCTCACGGAAAAGAACAACTTTGAAGTCCTGGAGGTGAGGGAGTTGCCATCATTATTCTGCATTTTCACCCCACAACTACAATGTTATGTGACATAAAGTGAACAACCGTGACACTTGCACTATTCAGGGAACTCAGACTTCATATGTCAGACTACAGAGAGACAAAGAGTTTTTCACTGTTACTTAATACTGTAAAAACAAAAGAACTCTTCTTTTGTATATATAGTCAAATGTGCAAATAAAGGGGGGGAAGGGCTTACATTTTATTAGTATCTCAACAGCCTTAAAACAATTAATGCACGTTCAGGGTGATGAAGACAAGAGAAGTGAACATTCAAGCCAGAGCAGAGACTAACTAGTCATGTAGAAAACTAGGTAATTCCACCGGTACAACTCAATCCTGTTGCAATAATCCTGCTGTTCCAGTCCTGGGCCTACTCAAAACAGCTGATGCCGATTGTGCAAAAGAAGCCCATGCCATACCAAACACAAAAGGTCTGCTTATCTCCTTTCCTAAGACACCTCTGAAAAGAAACCGACTGCTGTTGGTGCAACCAGACCACCATCACCCCGACCGCACCGTTTCCTCCTACGCCGCTAGAAGCCCTTTCAGCTTCCACCCGCCGGCTGCTGTCCCAGGCGGTGCCCCGTCTGGGGCAGGGCCTCACCTGTCCTCTGCCCATACACGGGCAGGCCCAACACCGCACCGCCTCAGCTCAACGGAGGGAGCTCCACTCACCGCAGGAGTGGAAACCACCAAAGTTACTACAGGCCTCACCGCTCTGGGTCGACTTTTCCAGCTCTTTGGGAAGTTACAGATTCTAGGCAAGATGGAAAGCATGCAGGACACTGCACGCACCACCAGGGCCATGACAGATAGCCCGGTGTAGCAGCACGGCAGCTGTCTTGAAAGACAGCCCATACAGTTA